AGGCTGAGATCTGAGGATCGCGGTTCAAAGCCAGCCTGGGCAGGAAAGTCTGTGAAACTCTTATCTTCAATAAACCACCAGAAAACTGGAAGTGGCACTGTAGCTCAAGTGGTAGAGCGCTAGCCTTGAGCTGAAGAGCTAAGGGACAGCGCTCAGGCCAGAGTTCAAGCCTGACCAACAAAACAAACAAACAAACAAAAAACCTAATGACATGAGTTTTAAGGCTGGGAGTAGTGAGGAAGGAGAGACAATGAGACAGCACTTATTGATTCATGTTAAATGTTTTAGTGCCTCATTGTATTGCCAGTCACTTAAGAAAAACATGGGGACTGGGAATGTGGCTCAGTGGTAGAGTGCTTGCCTAGTGTGCATGAAGCCCTGGGTATGATTCCTCAGTACCACATAAACAGAAAATGCTAGAAGTGGCGCTGTGGCTCAAGTGGTAGAGTGCTAGCCTTGAGCCAAAGAAGGTCAGGGACAGTGCCTAGGCCCTGAGTTCAAGTCCCAGATCTGGCCAAAGGGAAAAAAAAGAAAAAGAAGCTGGGCGCCTGTGGCTTATGCCTGTAATCCTAGCCACTCAGGAGGCTGAGATCTGAGGGTCAGGGTTCAAAGCCAACCCAGGCAGGAAAGTCCATGAGACTCTTTTTGTTTGTTTGTTTTTGGGTCCGGTTGTGGGGCCTGAACTCTGGGCCTGGGCCCTGTCCCTCAGCTCTTCAGCTCAAGGCTAGCACTCTACCACTTGAGTCACAGCACCACTTCCGGCTTTTTTTCTTTTTTGCTTATGTGGTGCTGAGGAATCGAACCCAGGGCCTCAGGCACGCAAGGCAAGCACTCTACCACTGAGCCACCTTCCCAGCCCAAGTTCTTCATTTTTTGAGTGGTGGTAGTGTTGGGGTTTGTACTTAAGGTTTCATGCTTGTTAGACAGGTGCTGAGCCATGCCTCAAGCCCTTTTTGCTTTGGTCATTTAGGGAAGGGAGGTATACTGGTACCAAGTCTTGAACTCCTGGACTCATGCTCATCCTAGACCTTCTTGCTCAGTTAGCATTCTACTTGGGCCATTCCTCCAGTTTGGCTTTTTTTGTGTGCCAATCCTGGAGCCTGTGCTCTAGAGCCTAGTGTTCTACCACTTGAGCCACAGCTCCATTTCTGGCTTTTCTGGTAATTCCTTAGAGTCTCATGGACGTTCCTGGCCAGACTGGCTTTGAATTAGATCTTCAGGTCTCAGCCTCTTGCTTAGTTAGAATTATAGGCATGAGCCATTGGCACCCAACGTCTTTTTTTTTTTTTTAATTAATCTCAGATCAGCTAGCCTTCTATCCCACTGTATTATAGTTGTATCTGTTCAATGTATATTTCCCTGCTTATACCACAAAGCTCAACCAAGGCAGTAATTTTGTTGTTTGTGCTTCATCCTCAGAGTTCTGACCCAGGGTTTGGCACAAAGAAAAATTTCAGAGTTGAATGATCAAATTAAGTACAGGTCACTCAAATGGGAGACGTTAGCTGTCTTCCCTGCCCTTGGGGTTATCTGTATTCCCATCCTTATCCCAGTGGGAACCCACCTCACCTGAACGTGCATGCACAGTCCTCCAAAGAGCAGCAGCGCTGCAGCATGGACCAGGTACACAAACACCCCTGGACTGAGGAAGCCGGGATGAGGCTTATTGTCCCTGCTCCTTCGTAGCCCAAGTGTAAGGCAGAGCCAAGGATGGGTGGTCACGTATGTCCAGGTTGCCAAGGCCACCAGTATAGCCATAGGTGCAGCCAGTAAAAAATTAGGCACCTGTCTGAGCTCATAGTATCTCAGAAAGCCAACATTCCAGTAGACATCCTGGATGTAGCTGTATATGAGAGGAAGGTCCCAGGAGCACCACGGCGGCAGATTTCCCTCTGCAATCCGGTAGCCCTTGTCCATAGCTAATTGCACCAAGGGTTCAGGAATGGAGTGAGGAGAGCCTGGCAGACAGAACTGGGTATAGGCATAATACTGAAAGAGGGCAAAGGGAAGGCTAATTGTGAGCACAGATAGGCACAGAGAAGCCATCAGCTTAAAGGACTGTCTCACCAGGCTTAACACCAGGAAAGAAGAAACAAAGGCTCGGCACTGAGAATGTAGAAGAAAGCCAACGCTGACCAGCCCATTGGAGCGTACCCCAGTAGCAAGAGCAAAGAGGAGACCACTAGTCCAGCCTCGGCCCCTCTCCAGCTGCCCCATGGCACTGAAAGTGAGGAGGGCAAATAAAGCTTCTGAATAGCCAGCTGCCAGAAAAACATTGGCGGGGCTAAGGCAGAAGAGCAGTGCTGCGTAAAAAGCTTGGTGAGGACAGTGCAAAACCAGACAGCCCAGGTCGTGAAGGGTGACTGCAGCCAGCACAGAGAACAAGGAGTTGAGCAAGGCTACTGCAATCAACAGGCAACTCCGCTGGCTCAGTAGGCCCCTCAAGGGCCTCAACAATTCAGATCCCACCAGAAGGGCCAAAGGGAAGCCAGGGAAGAAGGCAAAGTTGTGCTCATAGAGGTAGCCATGCTCGGCAATGAACAGGAAGTGTTCTGCGTCCCAGCGAGAGAGGCCACCCAGAAGCCCTTCCACAAGCTGGTCCATAGAACCCGAGGGTGCCAGGCGGGGAGGAGAAAAGGCTTCTGCTTGGTGATCTGGGATGATGGCATTGAAGAGGGCCTGTGGAGTAAAGAAAAAGCAGGATTTTGGCTCAGTAACTGAAAGAAAATTACCATGTCATAAAAGAAGAACAGCTGTCAGGAGCATGTAGCTCACACCTGTCATCCTAGCTAATCAGGAGGCTAAAATCTGAGGATTGTAGTTCAAAGCCAGTTCAGACATGAAAGTCCATGAGACTCTTTTTTTTTTTTTTTTTTTGTCGGTCGTGGGGCTTGAACTCTGGGCCTGGGCACCGTCCCTCAGCTCTTCAGCTCAAGGCGAGCGCTCTACTACTTGAGCTACAGCGCCACTTCCGGTTTTTTTCTGTTTGCTTATGTGGTGCTGAGGAATCGAACCCAGGGTCTTGAGCATGCAAGGCAACCGCTCTACCACTGAGCCACCTTCCCAGCCCCCCCTTCTCTGTTTTTTATAACGTTCTTAATTTTTATTTTTTTTTGGGTCCGGTTGTGGGGCCTGAACTCTGGGCCTGGGCGCTGTCCCTCAGCTCTTCAGCTCAGTGCCACTTCCGGCTTTTTTCTTTTTGCTTATGTGGTGCTGAGGAATTGAACCCAGGGCCTCAGGCATGCAAGGCAAGCACTCTACCACTGAGCCACCTTCCCAGCCCTGAGGAGGAGTCTTCTTAACTTGTTAGCACTGGCTTCAAATTATGGTCTTCTTGATCTTCACTTCCTAAGTAGCTGGGATTATAGATGTTCCATTGCACCAGGCCAGCCTAGCTCCATATTTTTGTTGTTATTGTTGTTGTTGTTGTGGGGCTTGAACTCTGGGCCCGGGCACTGTCCCTTAGCTATTCAGCTCAAGCCGAGCGCTCTACCACTTAAGTCACAGCACCACTTCCAGTTTTCTGGTGGTTTATTGGAGATAAAGAGTCTCACAGACTTTCCTGCCCGGGCTGAGATCTCAGCCTCCTGAGTAGCTAGGATTACAGGCGTGAGCCACTAGCGTCTGGCTTCCCAGCTCCATATTAAAAGCTCTGTTTTTTGGTTAGTTTCCTTATCAGGCCACTTCCGAGTGAGTAAAACCGAATGAGACTGGAGTGATAGTCACAGATAATCCAGGGCTCCAGGTTGAAGACATTTATTTTTTGGTCGGTCGTGGGGCCTGAACTCTGAGCCTGGGCACTGTCTCTGAGCTGCTTTTGCTCAAGGCTAGTGCTCTACCACTTGAGCTACAGCGC